GGAAGAAAACGGCGTGATGATGTCTAACGTGACTCGTTCTGCAAGTTTCAATAGTGCAAAAGAGCAGGCAATTGGACGAAAGGGTCTTGGACTAGAAGAGGAGAGTTTTTTAGATGGGAGTGATTCTCACTGATCGTCAGTCATCAAAAATCTTAGACTTCAGGTAGGGCAAGTTGATGAGGTGTATCAATGTAGGAGCTAACTGAAAAGAGCAGGATTTCAAGAGAAACGGTGAGACCCCATCTGGACCAGCAGCTGTTGAACCTCGAACCTTTTTAGATGTTTCTTCACTGTTTCCACAGACACAGTAACAAAGACAGTTGGTAATAAGAAAATGGCGTTTGTCGGAAGATGGGAGGCAGTGGGAGTGTGGATGAAGTATGCATTTAAATGATATGAGTCTAAGTCAGCATTTACATGTGCTAGTTTACTGCGTTGACCAGTGAGACGCTTAAGACTCTTCCAAATTTTATCCGAGCAAAGAGGAGAGGAAGATGTAGAAGAAGTAAAAAGCTGACTAATAAAACGGTAGTTCAGTCGGGAAATCTCAAACTTTATTTGGACTTCTTTCTCGTAGACCCAGTCTGAAGAGCAATTTGTTTTTGGCGCCTCTATTTTTTTAGATGAGGATATAGTTTGTCAGGTCTTACCATAACTGCGTCAAGAAGACAACATATTGTAAAAATTTCATTTAAAAAGGTGTAAGAATATTGGAGCACGACTCGACGCCCGAGTGTTCAAGAAGTGCAGGAAGGTTTTCAGACATGTAGGTCCGGAGAAAAAACATAATCTGTGGGGACGTGTCGCGAACCTTAAGTTTCCGCTCGGATTTTGCTAACAGTCTCTTCTTACAATAGATGGTTGGCAGCCCCAATATTTGGCAGGTCCAATATTCATGCACCGATAGGGTTGAAACATGCACACTTTGCACAGTATTTATAGTTCACAGTGGTCATCTGCGTGCGCGCAATAATTATTCACTAATGTAGCCTTTGATTAAATCTTAATTGATGCGGTACTGGCCTGACACTTCGCTTTCGACTCACTAATTGCCCCAATTGCCTTGTCAGTGTCGGATGCGGGCCGGATAATTGCGTGACAATTACGCCCGCTGTCGTCAGAGTTATTGATGCGCCCGGCCCTTCCCACTTGAGTGACTCCCTTGCTAAGGAAACTTATCAGTACACCGTATGGGAACGCCAAATCGTTGCGCTTGTTAATGGACTGGGAGCCTGCGTACCATGACTCCAGCAGCTCGCGGCTCACGCGTCTGTCACCTCTTGCGAGGATTTCTATCTCGGACTTGAACTCGAACTCGGGTGAGCTGCAACCTGGGGGTTGGCGTCTCTCTTCATCGCCGCCGCTGCATGCTCGAAAGTTCGCGTCCGGAGTAATCTCTCGGTTTCTTCGACGTAGTTGCTTTGTACACAACTGCATCAGTGTCGAATATGGAACTTCTCTCACGAGAGAGATACGATGAAACGGAGAATCGCGTTGGGCAAACCCAAATCCTCCAGCTTCTAACATTCTTTATCCATATGTACTTTACTGTCGACGGAACTATCTGCGAGCAGGTGAAGGTTACGCCAATGGGTTCGCCTATTTCCTAACTCATATCAGAGTTCGTCCTGCAACGATTAGAGTCGCGGGTTTTTCGACACCACAGACCGAAATTTTGGGCTCGCTATGTGGACAACACCTTCGTCGTAATTGAGCAGGATCAGGTGCTGACATTCAAGGAACATCTTAACGTCACCTCCCCGCGCATCCAATTTATGATGTACGAAGAAGAAAACAACCGTCTGGCTTTCCTGGATGTCCTCCTTTGCCGCAAAGGCGGTAGTGGCCTAAAAACTAGTGTTCAGGAAAGCAACCAACACTATGCAACTGCGGAACTACTACAACAACCACCCAATCAGTCACAAACGCAGCAGGGTAAGAGCGCTTTACTGGCGCGTTGAGACGCACTACAGCGAAGTGGAAGACAAAGTTGCTGAA